CAGCGGCCAAAAACTCCCTCCCCCCCCTACCCACAGAGAGAGGAAAACTCTTTATGAACGTATAGGAGGCACACACACACACACACACACAGGGAAAAGGGTTTAAAAGTTCTATGTACAGACTCTGTAAATGCCAGCCCCCCAAAATTAGCGCAGACAGGTCCTCCTCCTCCCCCACACACACACACACACGGGAGCACAGGCTACAAACAGAGCAAAAACCCTTTAGGTGTTGCTAGTTCCAAGCAAGCAGGCAGTCTTAGAAGCAAGGGAAACCCCCCTCCCCCCAGCAGTTCTAGCAATAGATGAAAAGCTGAACCACACAGTCTTTAAAACATGGGTTTTAACTTACCAGAGTCCCCTTCCCAAACACCACAAAACACACCAACCCCACAGTTTCCTTCCTTTTTAAAAGAAATAAAGACAAACTCCTCCAGCCAGGCTGTGTACCGGAGAATGAGTCAACAGCAACGCAGGCAGGCAGAGACAATGACACGGCAGAATTGGAACAGCCCGCGCAGGCTGGGAGGGGGAGGAGCAGGGGAGGTGGCTAAGATTCCCCGCCAATGGCAGCGCGTGCTTTTCCAACCACGGCAAATATCACACCCTCATAGGCTGACAGGCGTCCCCCCCTCCACCAATCGGAGCTGAAACAGGTTCCCCAGGGCAGTCTGTGCTGACAGAGAGGCAGAGAGCTTTCCCCCTCCCTCCCTGTGGGCTGTCACTCCTCCCTCCTCCTTCTCCCCCTCCCCTCCTCCCACCCAGCTGTGGCTGCACAGATAAGAACTCATGCTGTGTTTTAAGTAGCCGACAGTTCCCCATGCACATGGAAAAAGTTCTCAGAGACACACTGCTGCTGACCAAGGAAGCTTCACTAATGGTCAAAATAAAAATAAATATGTGTTTTTGGAGTCAAACTGGTGCCAGACCTGCATTTGGAGGCAGGCATTTTTGGAGGCACCCACTATTGTGGAATAAAAAAAAAAAAGTCTTTGCAGAATGAGGCAAGGGTTGAGAGGCACATGGCAGGGGGAGTTTGAATGAAGGGGGGGTGGAGGCCCACGGGTCTGTATATCCTAAAGATAGTTCTGTTCCTCGCGTGTGTTAGGAGGGGGGGCCTTAAGGCTGAGTTTTTTGTTCTTCTCCAGATGGCGGTGAAATTGTCTAGACGGCATTTGGTAATGAGCAGGACTGTGGGCATTATGAAGCCCGCCATCCCGGCATATATGGCACCTGTGTGGAATGGTTGCCGAATTCAAACCAACGTGTTTGAACATGCCCGGCCCCATAACGGTCCTATTGATCAGAAAGAGCCTAATGTATTCAAAGTTGCAGTTATTCAATCCTGAGGAAAATTGTTCCTTTATAAATACTGACCCCCTGGCAAAAAATGCATCTACAATATTCATTTAAATGTATGCTGTCTGGTACAAGTCAGACAGCCTCTCTGAGAGGCGGGGGGGCCATTTTGGAAGGGGTGTGTGTGTTCTCCAGCCAGCCCCAAAGGGGAGATCATTTCTCAGCGCCACAGCATGTACAGGGCCGCTGCAGAGTGAAACTGACCAACATGCAAAGCCTGGTGGGGACCTGACAGGCGCCTGTGCCCCCTTCTATGATCATGTTCACACATCTCTGGTTATTCCCCCACCCCAATTGAAGAGAGAGAAAAAGAGCAGATCTGCTGAAATGAAGTAAAATTATTACAGCTTCATAGGTAGGGAACGGGAGAGGAAGGCCCCAGCTTATGAATGGAGGAATGCACTGTAAAAATGAATTCAGAGACTAGAAGGCAGAGTTCTAAGGTGTGTGCACCCAGCTGCTAGCTTCTGGCATGAAGAGATAAGAATACCAGGCCTAGTTCTATGCTTTTTTAACCAAGGGGCTGTTTTTAAACCATTCAGACTTTTTAAATAACTGTTGACTGCCTCTGCCAGTGGAAGCTTTGTCAAAAAATGTGTTTTACGGGTAGGAGAAGGTGAAATTCTGTATTTTGGAGTCAAACAGAACCAACATTGTGGAAGGTTTAATGAAGTCTTTTCCTAGAAGCAGGTGTTTAAGACCCACCTGCTAGCTGGTAGGTTTCTCCCTCAAATCATGCAACACACACACAACAAATCCACCACACGCCAAGAACATGAAAATTCACGTCTTTACATAGATTCACTAATACCTACGGCTGCCAAACGTGGTGGTGTGATGTAAGTCTAAACAAAGGATAAGACAAGAATTATGTTTCAGGGACAGCATTTGTACATGGAACAAGAAATTCCTATCTGATTGCAAATATGCAAGACATATTCAAATTATAAAGAGCTGCCAGATGAGGGGTTAGATCAACGGCAGGCTTTCAAGTCTCACTATTGTGGAATTTAAGAAGTCTTTGCAGAACGTGGCAAGGGGTTGGACCGCCCAGTCTGGCTTTTTTGCTCTCAACGCCAACCAGGCAAGGTAGGACAAGCTGAAATTCTGTATTTTGGAGTCAAACTATGAATCAATATTGTGGGAAAGTCTTTGCAGAAACGTTATTAAGCAGTTTCTAAACCCATGGCAGGGTTGGGCTGTATTTGCAGGACGCTGATAAGAAAGGGGTGGGGTGTGCTGTCTCAGGAGGCTTTTTGTTCTTTCAACGCCAACCCCCCTGCAGGGTAGTGAATGGGTTGCTGGGCCTTGGGAAGACTATAGGACATGTCCACCTTGGGGGCCGCGCCTATTGGCCACCGCAACAGCCCTTCTTTTCCACAGCCATCTTATTCTGAAGGTGTCTGGAGCTGGATGTTCCAATATCTCCCCCCCAAAAAAAAAAAAAATAATTTTTTTTAAATTAAATGCTCATTTGGGCATACCATGCCTTTTAGTAAGTTTGATGTCTAAGATAGGGGCATCAGGCAATCCCACCGAAGCACTATCCCTATGGGGAACACTCATTGCACTTAGGTGATCAACTCTTGCCCCACAATCAAAATGCAAATACGGCTTGGTGAGTATGTAGATGTTTTCTAATTGTTATTTAGGGAGCTTGAAGTTAAGGAAGAAGGTAAAGAAAAAAGAGGAGGTTAGTAAGAAGCCAGCTGATCGT